TAGATAGATAGATAGATAGATAGATAGATAGATAGATAGATAGATAGATAGATAGATAGATAGATAGATAGATAGATAGATAGATAGATGTTTTTATGCATTTTTATGGGGTGCAAACCATTCAAATGTAAAAACAAGCAAAACAAATAAAAAATGTAATCTTGTCATTATGCTAAAACTACAACGTGTGTATCACAGACAAGTCTGGACATGTCTGAAATGCTGTGTGTGTTTTCGTGTGTGTAAACTGCGCTCTATTTCCCCTCTTGGAACGAGTCTCTCACCCCTCTCATGTAATTCTTCATGCTCCAGCTTCTACTGGATAAAACAGCAGCTGTTCTACTGCAAATGTGTCACATTTTTACTGACTTTCGCTGGATAGTTCTGTAAAGTTCATACTTAGATTTTCCAAAAACAAAACATTTTGTGATCTTAAATCAACAAAATAAGCTTTAACTCATCTATGTGTGTCTAACAAAACATCACATGATTAGAATTGAGAAATGGAAATTTAAAGGACTGCACTGTATCAACTTTTTTGCTCATTAATACCCCTTCGAAGGGCTTGGCTCCGATCGGCATACAGTGGGAACATTAGTCCCGGGTCGACCCCTCATTTAAATAAAACCCTTGAGCCCTAGAATTGACAAAAGTCGTTCCACCCTTAATGCTGCGTTCACACCAAACGCAGCAGGAGCAGCACAAAACGAGTCTGCTGCTTCATTTTTGATGCTTGTACAAGTTTAATTCTGACGCACAGCAGGGGCAGCAAAGCTGCTTCAACTGCGTGGTGGAAAAGAGGGTCTGATGGGAGTTTGGTGGAGCTACCTTATCCTTTCTTTGCCTGGCAGCTATATTTGCTGTGATAAGTGGGAATAAAGTAGTTTAAACTTTGGAAAATCCACCTGAAAACTTAATGTGTGCAGTCAGTTCATCCACCATTTCCAATCATACCTTCAAATATTATTTCTGACGGAGCCGCTCAGACACCCACATACCAGCGGTGCTCTGTAAGTAGAAATCCCATTCAACAGCAGCCTCCGGCCTGGTCGCCTCCTCGTGGTTTGCCGCAGCGACTGGAAAGTGGTATTCATGTACGCAATCCAAACTGCAGGCACCAGGATAATAAAAGCGAACATGTTTTGCCAGCAGGTTTCTACATTTTAAGTTAATGTACGTGTTAATAAACTGTTTCAGAGGAGTGATTATAGTAATCTGTATCATCAGCGATGTGTCTGTCTCCCTGCCAGCTCCCAGATCAGCCTTTTCTGATTGGTTGATGTGGCGCGTCGAGCAGCAAAAGTAAAATTTTTCCAACTCGAGCAGCAGCTGCGTTGCGGCGCGTCGTGCCCGTCAGATGCTCAAACTCTCTCGACGCGCTGCTCCAGCTGCTCAGACTCAATGCGCCTGTTGTTCAAAACGCACTGTGGAACATTTTGCTGCGCCTTGACACGCGTCAACCATTGACTTTGCATGTAAACTAGCTCCTCCTGCTGCCTCTGCTGCGTTTGGTGTGAACGCAGCTTAACAGCTGTTTTCTGCTGACTCGTTTCTTCTTAGGGACTGACAACAAATTTTTTTAGTTTCTTATAATGGAAAATTTATATAAATCATAATTTTCCTTACTATGAAAGTCTATAAAATAGTACATGCTTTAAAACTGGATAAAAACAAACCTCTATCACCGATACAGTCTAGTCTTTTGTCATTGTTAAGGTCGTAACATTGACCATAGTAGCCATATGAGAACATTTAAGAATACAAGCATTTACATGCAGGAAACTAAAGCATTATCACCTAGGAGATTACATCATTCTAGCTTTAGAGTTCTAAGTTACTATGTAAAATGAATGCATCATTATACCTGAACATGGGGCTATGAGAAATTTACCAAGCATAAGAGAATGACTTGGATGCTGTTAGGCCAAATATTGTAGTATTATAATAGTGGACACAAAAAAAAAAATCAACATTTGCACAGTAACATAAAGATAACACCAATATTGCCTAGCCTTTATAGTTTATCTGCGACCAAAAAAAAGTTTATTTGGGGTTTAGTTACTCTTTGAAAGGATAGCAAACTAAGACAAGAAGAAAATCTGTGAATAAAACTCATACAGTAAGAAAAAAGAGCAATGAATTGCTTTATACAATGTAATTAAAAATCTGGTTTCTAAAGTAAAGAGCTTCATTTAATGAAAGATTTCTTCAGGTTTTATGGGCTGTTTTCTCATTTGGTAAAGTGTGAGAGCATTTCAAAGTAACATAGATTGAGGAGAGGTTTTTGTAGACATGCCTTTATATAAACAATTATAAACTACATGCCCTTAAAAAAATATTTCTTTAAGTTTTGAACAGCAACAACAACGTCATTTATCAGCATGCTGATGTTCTATCACTTTATCAATGCACAAGTGAAATTGAAGTAAAATAACCATTAACATTCAGATTTTTCACATTGCTGCCAACTTGCCAACTCAGTCAAGCATCCTAAAACATTCTGAACTAAAGAGTCATTGTTTGCTAATGAGCAAACAATAGTATGTTTACCTGACATACTAGAAGGCTCCAGTCTGAGAGCTCCTTTTAAAATTATGATGTACAATGTATATAAAATGTTTAAAGATCCCGCAAATTAGCATTCACCAAAGGCTCCCAGATATCAAAGTCACATAATTAATTCTTTTTGTGGCAAGACATTGGTTCCAAGCACTAGTCTTTTGTCCTTAAAAAAAATGTGTCTGTGGATCTGCAAAGTCTCTTTTTGTTTGTAAGTGTGTCAGTGCTAAAGGTTTAAGTGAAATGATGTCTGCTTTCTAAGTGAGGAAGTGTGTATCATTTCATGACAGTGAGTCATAGATAGTGAGAGCCAGAAGCAGACACTTCTTAGAAAGCATAAAGTGTGCATGCCCGGACATAGTCCTTTTTTTGTTTATCCATTCTATTATAAACCAGTTCTTTGGACTAGTTTATAATGGATAGTGGTCATGTTCCAGCAGTAATTAGCAGTTTTGCTTGACTGGGCTTTTATTTAACTGATACATCAAGCAGTATTTTTCATTGTTTTAGAATGACAGAACACAGATGATACTATTAGTTAGTCATTTTTTCAGTTCAACTTTCCCCT